GATCTAATTCTCACTAATACTGACAGGTGATTACAGTTTTCTTTAGTGTAAGCAGAAATGTAGAAACCAGACTGACTGATTTAATACATACCAAAAAACCCATAAAATCCCACTTCAGGGGATACAGTCAAAATCTCTAGTTCTTATGAACAGACTGATTTATTGTATTAAGTGTAATAATCAATGCTGTTAACTGAAGCCATCTCCCAGAACAGGTCCCTTATGTATCGCCCAGTACACAAGCCTTCTGAATTCACCTGGAGTTTCATTAGCACTCCAGTACAAAGCCATGCTGTGGCCAAGAAGGGCAATCCTATCCTTCCTTGCTCCTCACTCATTTTAAGTGTCTCATTCACTAGTATTAGCTTTTCAGTGTATCTCTATGATCTTCTTGTATCAGACTACACCCACACAAACACTAAAGGTTAGTAAGGCACTGTATTGTCTATTGCTGTCTTGTTTGGACAGCATTACTGTAGATCTCATGAAGCTACCCCTGAAAATGCGCTATAAATTCAAGTACTTGTCACAGAATTAGTAGTCTTCTGTTGCTGATAAATTCAAGAAAAAAGATAAAATTAGAAGTTACATAATTGCAAGCATTTAAAAGGGATTTAGTGATCTTCAGTGGGAAACAAAACCATGCTTTGGTAAATTAGCCATGACAAAGCCCACATTCCAATATAACCCCACAACCCAAACCTTAACAGCTTAAAAGAATGGCAATTGTTACTAGCGAGAAAGATTATGGTGGTGAAGTCACCTGTTAAGTTTACTAAATATTTGTTCCCCCGTATGAAGACTGTTTTATAGCTATGTATAGTCTCTTAATCACCACAGAATTTCAACTATAGCTTTTTCTACTTCAAGAGGAGCAGAGTCTGTCCAACACTAAGAGATACAAAAAGGATCTATCTACCAGTTTCCTGACCTTTATTATCTTTATGTCCTTAAGTTAAATGACTTGAACATCAAGGATATAAGATTCAGATATCATATGCAGGGAAACCTCTTAGTTGTGAGCCAATCAAAAGACTCCATATATTACCAGGAAAGCAAAATCATACTAAATTAATGTAATAAAGTTAACACTTTTCCTACCTCAGTTTAAGATGTATATAACCAATTACTCACCTGAAGCATAGCTTCTTTCTGTGGTACAGAAAATTCTCTCTCTTCACATGAGGATGGTTTGTGAGTGGGTGGGAGATCAATGCTGTAGTAAAGAATAAAAGAAATAAGACATGCAATGTTTGTGAAGTCCAACTGAATGGCCAGATATTATTTATTTTAGCTGCCAAATCACCCAACACTCAACACTGAAGGGGACACAGCTTTCAGTCAGCAATAACACATATATGAAATATTGTATTGTTAACACATCCACTACTAGCTATAACTCAGCCACACACTTTTTGTGCAAAAACACTGCCTATAATTTGTTATTTAGCCTGTAAGGTGTTAAGTAGACCCAGCTCCCCTGCCACATGCTATACCTAAGTAAGAGTAGGGACTACTGGTATCTATCATTTCTAGGTTAAGAGACAACAGCTCAAGCAACATTTACTAGTACATCCTTTCTTTAAAAAGCCTTTGAGAAAGCCTTATTATTACATGCAAGACTCCTCTGTTGTAATTTTACCAGTGAAAGCAAATGGTTATGAAAAAACTAAACACTGAAGACAACTCATAAATATGCTTCAGCTACAGAATTTAAGAGACAAACAAGAAAACAGTATTTCTAATGATGTTGGAAATTACTCAGTTGTAGGAAAACACTTGACTCATCTTACTAGCGCTCAAGAGATTCAAATGTTGAAACTCGCTTTACACTAAACACTAAATTCTTTTATTCTACTCCTCATTAAGTATATACAGACATGACAAATTTTATTTTTTCCTCCAGTTTAAGTGTTAACTGTATACGGCACACATGAGAAAAGATTTGTATTTATAGATACTCAAAATCATCATCACCTTTTATGAATATTCCCAACAGGGTCTAGACACCATCCAATTTAACTGACAAAATCCTTTCAGACTTTTTTTTGTTTGACCATATTGGATGCTTAAGAAAGTAAACAGCACGTCTCTTACAGAAACTTGAAACAACCAACATCCTAAAAAGGACAATAAGTCAGCCATTTCTAAGCATACATATTTGTGGGTGTTTTATTTTACATACCCCTCCATTAAAATCTTAGCTGACCTTCAATTCTGCAAAGCTTGGTCGATTTGCTCTCATGTTAGATCTACAGTTTTGATAAACTAGGTGTCTGTGGGAACAGTCAAGACCGACTCTTCCACTACACTCCAGTTCAACCAATGAACTTTCAAGGAAATTTCTCAAGACAAAGAATTATATTACCTTTGAAGTATTTCTTAGCTTCCTCATTTCTTTTTCAGAAATGCTAGTGATTTTACATTTGTCTACTATGAAAATGCAGCCTTGAAATTATGACAGTTGAACAGCTGCTAAGGAAACTTAAGACATTTAAATGCCTATATAGAACCAACCATTTCTGCATATTGCTTTCAATTAAAAAAAAAAATAATCCAACACATACTCACACTTTGTCAAGATAAGATGGCCTTTTTTTCCTTGGGGTCATCAGCACTGTCACAAAGATGGTAATGATAAAAAGAGCAAGGACTGCTCCAATCACAGCCCCTGCTACAGCAACAGAAGATGTCTGCTTAAATGGCACATCTGCAATGTGATAGCATAGATTACACCCTTAAGAAGTTCACATACTTTCAATACTCAGATAAGCTATTTCAGCATTGCTGTGAGAAATGTTTCTTCCTTCCATGACCAAACAGAAAGCCTTGTCCTGCACTAGCGCTGTTGTAGTAATGGCTCTGGTCACCCAAGTAAAAAAATGGTTGAATTAGGAGAGCTCATAAATCATTAATATGATTTAAAAAAAAAATTTATCCACTAATTTTAACCAATACTGGCTGCATGCTTTTATTTTTGATTTCGAGGTAAGTTCAAATTACAGAACACATGCTTTGCACTTATATGAGTAAAGGAAGTGTTAATTCAAAAAGCTAGACAACTATGGCTTTATTGGCAATCTATCTTTAAAGCCACTGAAGTCTGCAGAAAAAAGGAAAAAAAAGCATTTTTCTTTTGACCTCAGCATCATCAAATCTGATGTATAACAACTCTCATACTGAATTAACACACTTGTCAGTCTTTAAAGGTCACCCATTTCACTATACTAGGAATTCAATAGGTTTTAAATCTCAGAACTCTGCAACCTGCTAAGATACTTTATTGCAGTATCATCAATATCAGAGCTTAAAAGTTGCACCAGCGGGCTTATCAAAGAGCTGCACAAATGGCATAATTCACATTAGCTTCACTAAATTGATTACGGAATCAGAAAGCTAACAGCAAAGGAGTTTTACAAGTATAAAGCTGTGTTAATTTTACACATTTCTAATGTAGTTTACTTCAAATACTTTCACTCAAAAATAATATGCTCTGTTTCTCCAAACACCACACAACCATCCTCTATTTAATCTCTTACCAGAGGAAATTTTAGGATCCTCTTCAGCCACATATCCTATTCACAGGTCAAACCCCCAAAATTATGCAGTATGTTTTATCAATTACTCATAATTCTATTGCTGTCCTGCCTGTAAGCTGGAAAGCTGGACAAAGTAATCTTTTTCCCATCCCTCATTTTGAAAAAAAAAAAAAAAAAACAACCAAACGAAAAACCCAAACAAACAACAACAAAAAACCCAAAACCAACCCCCCCCCAAACAACGAACTAAAAAAACACAATAAAACCCCCACACACAAAACAAAAAACAAACCGCTTCTAATCTGACAAAGGGATTCCAGTTCCCTCACTGCTTATGAAAGATCTGACAATACTCCCCCCTAGAATCACTCAGGCAGGTATGTTTAAGACGCTTGAACACTGAAATAAGCAGTTTTCATGACTTCCTTAAAGTTAACAGATAATGTCATAGACTAACAATTTACAGGAAGCTAATTCACGCCAGAAGATTAACATAACATACCACCTTGAGCGATCATCGTTCTGTTTCACTAAACAGCTTTCTTGACATAAGCTCCATTTGTCTGTCAAATACCAGTACATATATATAAGATCCATAATTCCCATTTTCTCCTGAAGAATGGGCACATGAATCAGTGGAAGGTTCACTTAACTGCATTTTAATTGGCTTTATTTTAGTTTATTCTAGGTGCTCTCTTGTTTAAGCGAGAAAGTTGCAGGTAACTAATACACACTGTTAGGCCCAGAATTCATGAAGGTGCTTTGGTCTTATGGTATCAAGAATTTCTTGACTGTTTCGTACTGTACTAACTTCGCAACGCCTTTTAGTCTTGTAAATTCTACTATAATGTTGAACCATCATGAAGTAGTATACATTTACTGAAAGTTCAGCCACTGAATCCCATTTTGGGTGAGATGACAATAGCCACCCATTTACCTCTGGACACCAGGAAAAATAGCCGTATCTCAGCAAGCGTAGCAACATACAGGAGCTGAAGTGTGATTACCACAGGACTCAATTTGCTTTTTTGAATTGCTCTGGCAAAAAAGAGGGCAGAAAAATTCTACCAGTCTAACCGGAGGCACAATCAGAAACCCAGACTACTAAGTCAAGCTGAACAAGCCAGAGAGCACATAAGATGCACAGTGCCAGCTACACAGCATTTTAATCACCAGTTGCTCAGAAATAGATGGGAATTGATTCACTCCAAGAAATACAGTTAAAGCAGAACTACAGCAACTGAAAACAATAATTTATTTATTTATTTTAAGAATGTGAATCTTAGATAGTGTATCAGCTGTACTTAAAGTGAAACTGTTTGGACAGCAACTATCCCTATCTATCATTCTCAAGGTTCATACCTTTAAAAATACTTTCTACACTTGTTTTATAAGCTTAGGGTCTGCAAGAGGAAATGCTAAAATGCCCATCTTAAACAGATTAAATACTTTAGTTCCTTCTACTCAGCCTCTGGTTTTATTACACTTTTTCATCTCCAATTTAAGAAAATATCTGTCAAACATTTCTGAACACTACCTATGTTCCAGAATGTAACAAAAAGTTTATTCACACAACAGCCATTTATACTTACAATCATTTTTTTTTTTTTACAGCAGACATAATGTACAAAACATCGCAACACACTTAAGTCCTATCCCTATTATCAACTTCAAAACATTGCAACTTCTTAACCCATAGTAATTAAATATATATATATATATATTTTTCAAAATCAAAACAAAAAATCCACAGAGACAAAAGCAAGATATCCCATGTGGAGAACAGGTTTATGGTTATGTTTATTTCCAAGTAACACCATCTTTTAAAGATGACATATCAAGTATGTTCTATTTGAAGAGAGATCTCTATTCCAGAAATAATTTGGATCAGAACCTTCTGTTATAAATGTAACTCCTTTCCTTGTGTTCGCACTCAAACTACAGATACACACATCTGCTATCGTTCTTGAGACTTTGGTCAATCATGTATCAGTACTCCATTAATCCAAACACAAACTTAAGTTATTTAGGGATGCTTTTCCATTTGAATTTCAAACAAAGCTGTTGTCTTATTCTTTTTTGAAGACATGCAGTCATATGCAATCACAGTGTATTGTCTACAACGCTCAATACAACTATTTTTGTGAAGCTCTAAATGCTGTAAGCTACCAAAGATCATGAGGATAGAGAAGAACTTCCAGCATGAATGCTCATGAAGCAGCTCTAATTATGAAGCCTATTTCATTTTCAAGGTAGCAGAGATTTTTTTTTCCCTTTTCAGGTTTCAAATATTAATAGCCTTATCAGCTTCATTATCCCAAGCTAAACACTTAAAAATGGCACTTCAAAAGATCTACTATTCTAATGATGAATTTATCATTGTTCTGTAATTCATCTAAAGTTACTTCACTCCTCCCTATGTAATCAGCAGAATTAGTTTGGTGAACCTGCTCAAGACAAAGTAGAATTACTTCAGATGTCAAACGAGATGTCCTACGTACAATGCATACAATGTCATTTTAAATAACTTGTTATTAAATCTGTTATCAATTATTTGCAGGGAAAACAAATCCACTGCGGTACAGAGACTGCATAATTTATCTAAATTCCCACTTCATAGATTCTGTAGTTGCACCATTGTAAAGTGTTTTTCCACTATATGAAGTAGCAATGCAAGTGTCCACTTCCCTACTAATAATCTGAAATTCTAGTTACCCTCTTCAAAACTAGGACTGTAACTTATTCAGAAGCAGCGTAAAACCGCTGTTTTAATTTCTGGTCATAAAAGTTCTAGCAAATGCTTTGACACCTCTTAGCATGCTTAATGTTTATTGGCACCTGGAAAAATATGCAAGTTGGCATTGGCCTCCAGCTTCAAAATCTGTTAGATTTTTCCTCTTAGTTGTGTCCAATTCTCCAGCTTTCTAATTCCATGGCACAATTCCCACAAAGCCTCAAAAACAGGTCTCAAACTGTATCCTCTGTACTTGCAAAGTCTTGCATTCATTAATGAGTTTTGACATTCTGCCAATTACAGGCTGAACCATATATCTTACTGTATGTATATATACAGACACTAGCATAAGCTTTAGAAATCAATGACTATAAAAAATAATTTTTCACCTTATTCCAAGACAAGGCTTTGACCTGTTCACACAGTCACTCATCAAAATTTTGTCCATAAGTTAGTTTCAGTGCACTGACTTCTTTTAAGTACATAGTTTCAAGAAGGCTCATTACAATGCTAAGAGGTATTCATTTTTATGCTGGAAAAAAACTAAAAATAAAGCTTCAATTCTGTTGCAACTCAATTTAATTGGTAAAATATTTGCTATACAGAAGCATTAAGTTTACCATGGATGGTATTTAGATTGGAGTAATTCACTTACTCTGCAAAGTAAAAGCCCCAAATGATTGTATTTGATCATTGCCTTAGGTAAACTTTTTTAATCAGAGAGCCAAGAAAGCCACTTTTTACTCTTAAACAATGTTGATTGGCAACTTTAATTTAGCCTTTTTTACCTCTGACATAGACCAATAAGCACTCTGCATTAAAACTCAAATCTTAAACAGTAGTACAGCATTGGGAAAAAAAGCAGCTCAAATATATTTTCCCCAGATTCAATATTTCCATTGTGTCAAGTCACATTATAAAAACCTTCAAAAAAAAAATCAGCTTCAAAAAGTTTAATCCTCCTCTTGTTTAAGTATAAACAATCTGAAAGTGATCAGCCAATGAAATGAACTGCAGGTACACATTTAGTTTTCAGTGGCTACTACACATACCACTCCCTCCGAGATATTACCGAGCCATCTATGTGGGAAACAAAGTCTTCTTCATTATCATCGTAACATTCACCACCCATATACTTCATTCCCAATGTTCCACCTTCATAGTAATCCATTGGTCTCTCATAACGTTCCTGGTACCTGTTAATATTGTCTATATTGTTCCACTCTGTTTTTTCAGGGTCTTCTAAATAATCTTTAGATATTAAGCTGTTCATTGGATGCTTTATTTCTTTTTTTATACTGTCAGGATAAGAATCCACATCATCTGACTGAAGAACATCTATTTGAGACTCTTTTTGCATATCTGATGGTGGAATGTAGTTCTTAGCAAAGTAGTCACCACGGAACGTCCGTCTTCTCCTATAGCAGATAATTCCAACCAGAACACTGATAAGTATGAGGAAGAGCGCCCCACCCACCGCACTACCGATGACGGTACCCCAAGTGTCTTCCTGCATTGCTGGCAAGGTTGATGTTGGGAAATCTATTATTCTAGGTTCTGTTGCTAAACCTGTGATGCCATCAGTCGAAGGATGCCAGGGAACCGTGGGCAGTCGAGTGGTAGTAGTAGGAGGATCTAATGGAAAGAGCAAAGAAGTAGACAAGACACAGAAAAGGCACAGAATGTCAATGCAAGCTAAATCAGTTAAGGGTTTATAAGAAAGCAAAGTTGATGGATATGTTCTACAAGAATAGTTTTTCATTCTCAAGTTCAGGGCACTACAAAATCTCACGGTTTCCAGAGGCTTTGAACTGGCTTCATTACATACGGTTATGAGCCATGCTTAAGCAGGATAGGAAGTATGGGGAGAAAATCAAGTAAAAGTAATTTTGAAGCAGACATCTAGTTCTCCTCAAAGTAAGGAGATGCAGCCTCTCTGCTTGTTTGTTCACTGTTTGTAGTTGATTATTTATCTCCCCCATGGAAGAAAGTTGTCTATTAGCAGAAACCCAAGCAGTCCTCTATCTTTCCAGCCAGCAGTTTGGAATACTGGATCAAATTAATTGATTATGCCAGTGTCAATTATTCCACATTAAATTCCCACTTCAGAATTTGTTCAGGGCACCAAGAATGAAAAACTATGAGTTGTGTGCTCAGTCAGCAGCACATAAACTACTGATTTTTAAGCTATTCTCTCCAAAAACATTTGTTGCATTAATATAACTCACTCAAGTTCACCTTGAGATTAGTGGAAGAAGCATAGTTAAAAATGGCATGTATTTATCTCAAAATAACACTTATGTTGAGCAAGGAGCTTGCAGCATTTTAAAATTAAAAAAACCCAGAACATATGAAGTAAAAATGATTTCTATGCATTTCTCCTAAAAGCAATTTGATCCCTCATGCACAAAGAAATTTCTGTATTCATACCTCAATATAAACTAACAACTGATTTCATGTCAGGTTATGGTTATGCAAGGAAACAAGAGATTGCCAGATACCAAGCTTCTCCAGTACTCAGTACTAGTACTACAGTACTTTTTCCTTTGCTCCTTAGGTTTACTGGAGACGTGCATCTGTATTGATGACAAGGTTGCAAGTGACCAACTGATGACACTGAAAAAGCCTCCTGAGACTATCCCAGTCAATCGCTATGTTAAAATGCAACTCCAGTTTCTATTTCTGTGCCTCACTGAATAAAACCAGCTTTTTGCTTTGCCCAGTGCAAGGTAATTTTAAAATCAGTAAAGCAACAGATACTAAACATATTATAGACAATCTTTTAGAGAGAATATTACATGGACAGCCAAATAGCTCATTACATCCTATTATTTAGTTAAATATCTATAAGCAAGATTCATGTAACTATCACTACCATATTACAGAGGCACTCTAAATATACCACCACAAAAAGTAAAATAGATAGAACTGGAGATATGTCAACCTTCCAGTTATTTGACAAATCTTAACCTTCATAAAAATTTTTTTTGACCTTACTACTCAGAGACGACCATACAATTCTCTCATACTAGACAGAATTGCCACGTTTCTCAATCACTACAAATCATACTTCAGATTGCATCTCACCTCTGAATGCAACATTTTAAGCTTGACATATTAAGTAAACTTTTACACAGATTTTGAAAGCACATAATTCTATTGCTTGACCATGTAGAAGTAGTGATTTGTTAGGGAGGTATACATAAATGAAATTAATTTGACAGAAGACAGGAAACTGAACAAAGAAGATGCACTACCAAAATGAACAAGAGGAATTCAGATTATGATTTTAGTAAAAACTGATTTAAAGTGAGTTTAATAATTTAACAAAGAAATAAAGATTAAGGAATCCAAGTTTACCAGGGTTCCCATGTCCCACAAATCCACAGGTCAAGAAGTTAAAATCAAAGCCCTCTTCCTTGAAAAGGTACTTGCTTTAGACACAAGATTTGTTAGCTTAAATTACAATTTCAGACAGTACCAGCAGCATCTTCTTACAGGCTATATATATTCAGTATTTTCAAACTGGCTTTGTAACTGCTCATTTATTTCCCTCTGGTACTGAGATTTTAAGTCCCACCCTCTGCATTCACAGTATAGAATACACATTCACAAGTATGTAGTATTTGTATCCTGGCAAGCTTAACCATAACTTATGTGAACAACACAGTGGCAATTATACTCCATTATTAATATATCAAAATACCAGTGTTCTGAGAAGTTTTGCCTTCAGAATTTCTGTTTCATCCACTAGTTTTCAGGCTGTCCAGCTGCATTATCTACAAACACTAACATATTAAAGTCATTGCAAATGTAGTACCAATTCAGCGTTTGCTTATATGTATTCCTACAATACATTACCATGAATACTTCTACCATCTATTTGAGTCAGTACCTTTTATTATTGAAGAATGAGAAAATTAAAATCATCCCTCCTTGTTTATAAGGCCAATTATAGCTTAGAGCACATGAAGTTAACTTATGATACCACTCAGAGCTTTCTGAATGTAAAACTACATTTTGTTTTTTCTTTTTTCTTCCTGCACTAAGCAAGTTTCCCAAATAGAAAAGCACATTAAGACCAGGAATGCCTGAGTACCTTACCTCTACTCTACAACATTTTGCTTGCAAATCACATCTCAAATGCTATCTCCAAATTAAGAAAACACCACTCTTGTGTTTAATGATAACATTTCATATAATCACCAATACCTGGTTCTTTGAGTTCTTAATACTTTCTACATGCACGAAGAGCATAATTTTGATTTTATGTTATTTGTTTCAAATGCCACTTTATTCAAAAGCATCAATTTCCTACTGATTTTCTTTAGCATTTTACTTATGACCCCATGTTTAACAGCTCTCATCTCTTTCACTGATGTAAGCCTATGTTGTTGCAGAAAACACAACATATCAAAATATCCATGTAGGCCAGGGATCTTAGTGGCAAAAGCTCTGAAAAATTCTGGTCTTAGGTTAAACATCTTGATTTCCTTTTGTTTCTTACTATGTTCTAGGCCCTGTTCAAGTCCTTATTATATTTACCCTCTAGTAATGACGACGACAAGTGAAGAACCACAGAAAATTTCTTCTACTATTACATAGCTACCACCCTCATCAAAACAGGATAGGGAACAGAAAAGTAAACAAAAACCTATTTTCTGGTATGAAAGAGTAAACCCATCAGATGGCTCCATATATAAAAAGAAGCCAAGTTTTCCAAGTTTGTTTCAAAGCCTTTAATAGTTTCCCACCAAGAAAAGCAGTATTTGTTCTTTACTTAAAATGAAATTCTAAGACCTTCACAAACCAAGCACTATGGCCCTTATACAGTATTCTTAGTTTCCCTTCTATTACTTACATTTTCAGATGTTTTCCAGGAAAGTCAGTATCAACTTTCAACAGCATCAGTCTGATACTTTTACTTTTCCCTTAAATGACTATTCTTGATACTGTCTGCCCAGCTCTTGCAATACAAACAATGTATCTTGAGCAGATGAGTTTCTACAATTAGGCATAGTAGAAACATCTGACTCCACAATATGTCTCATGTCCCAAGACACATCATCTCCCCTCCTCGGTTTCCCTGCATCATATCCTCATTCAACAAGAAGCCAAGTGTCACAAAGATGACTGGGCAAAAAGAGATGGATGGATAATACTTAGAACCAGACCATTAGCTTTGAAATGCTAGGTTAGTCCTGTCTCGGTACCAACAAGCACACCATTGTAAAAATCAACTAGAAAAAACAGCATTTTTAAACTACAAACCATTTTGGATTTAGCCCACTATGAAGTATTTCACATGTAGGGTAACCAGCTCTATAGTATGGAAAAAGAAAGTTCAATACTGGCACACAACTCCTTTGGCTAAGATTTGTCACTTGAGCATTACAGAAACCAAGTTTTGGAAGGGAAGGTGCCTTGTCTAGTTGTTGTGTATTAATACAGACAAAATCTGTCTAGTTTCAAAAACTATGATAAAATCTAGTTCTCCCCATTTGAAGAACAAAGCAAAAACCTCACATGATTCAAAATCCACACTCAGATTCTGATATCCCTTTCTTTGCCTTCTGCAAGACAAGGACCTACTATCAATTACTTATAATCCAAAAGTGAGTTGGCTTTGAACAAATTACAAGATCTCTCTCTGCACTACTTTTACTGAGTGGCAAGTGTCTGCCTGGTTTTGTATTACATATATGTTTACACAGAGACATATTTACCTCTGCTTCTTAATCTGCTGTTATTGCTAAATTTCCCTTACATGCTAAGTACCTGAAACCTAAAGTATTTGATAACTATGTAGCTGGTGTTTATCAAAAACAGCCCTTCCCTTCAAGTGCTGAAAAGATTATGTTGCAACTCCCCTGTAGAAGCAGGGAAAGTAGCCTTTCCATCAAAGAAGGCTTTCTGGATGTCTGAGATCAAATGATTTTGAAATTTATCATTGTTTCTCCAACCATTCCCACACTGAAGTCAAGAAGTGGGTAAGGACACTGTGCATCTCTCCCCACGATGTCTCCTGTACGCAGGTCACACATGGGAGTTAAAAATTTTCCTTAGGATCACCTTCCATTTCTTCCCCTGCCATTTTGGCAGCATGGTACATATGAAGGATTGGTATTAGCCTGAAGCAACCAGTATCTTTCAGTCAATCATCCATTTTTAAAGTTCAGTTTACTTCTGCAGTTTCTAGCTGGGACTTCCATGTATTAAGTAGAACATTTTGTCATTTCTTTGTCACACAAGGGAAACTGTTATCATTAACCAAACCTCAAGCTTGCAGTGAATCTTCTGGAACAATATTCAAAGTTCAAAGCCTGCTATAATAGGCAGCAAACAAGTTAGGATATCCTGGGACCCCCTTTTCTCTACAGCAGAAAAAAGCAATATGAAGATGAAGGAACACAAAGCCAAGAAAACAAGGTTCAATTCCTTGTGTAAAAGCACAGAGTAAGTCTACATTACAAGATTAAGGGCTTTACATGCCAAGCTGACAACTTGTTTTGCAAAACCTGTTGCTGTAGGACTAAGTCAGGGACTTCAACAGCACTTCATGAGGAGCATGATTTGCATTTGCTGGACAACTATACAAACCAAGTTTAACTTTACATCACTGAACAAGTAAGAAACAGTGAAGATATCTGTGTATTAAAACCAATATTTAAAAAGCCACAATTTTGTTGTTTTCCTATCCACATAATGATGTAACATCTCCTGTAAATAAAAAGCTAGTGCATCTAACATTTACTCCCTGTCAGCTACTTCTATCTCCTTATTCCACTTAAGGGGTTAACATAAAGGTTAGGAGCACAACAAAATCCAGCTTTATTATTTAACAATGCATATTAGGACCAAAAGCATTTTTTGTTCAGCTTACGTCCTGATCCTACAAGACACTGCAACTTAATAGTTACTTTTTCTAGCAGTTAAGCTTTACAACTATCAGCATCATGACTGTTCAGAAACTACCTTCGTAAATCCTCTTTGGCAGCTTCATAATTAAAATTTGAAAGATGGTTTGATTGTACAGGTTTGTCTGCTAGCTTCAAAGTTTCGCTTTATGTTTTTGTCAAGTTTCATGCAGTGCAAAAAAGCCAAGATAGAAAAATAAGCTAGTTAAATGATTGCTGTACAGTACAGCAGTGCCATGTTCACCATTACTATATAGTATCTGCTCAGTTAAGTCAAATATTAAGGTGGTAAGCCATTTGACTTAAACTTTATTACTTCAGTCTTATTTTCTATACTTCTGACATCAATCTCTGTTCCCTCTGTAGAGTACCTTGAATGATTATTATCTAAGATGGACATTTTTGCTATTTCATAGTCACTTACCCATCCTGCATCTTTTTAAGGTCATTTTGATCATTTAAACAGCCAATCACACTGAGAAATTATTCTCCATTACAATATAATGTGCTTAATATTAATTTCTGAAAACAATACAGGTGCTACAATTTACCATTGCCTCACTTCATTTTAATCAAAACTCTTATATACCAGAAATTAACACACAGTGCTTTTAATCAGTTTGGTATAATCTTCTCTAAACTATTACAGCAGCGTAGTGGTTGCTTGTCTCAGCATTAACCTGATGTGTATGACTTGCCTGAGCATTAGTTGTAGTGATATGGCACCAGATTTATTCTAAGTTGTCTAAAAATCACCTATATTTTCCTAGATGTTGATCATACTACATACTCCAAGATTAACAGGAAGTTTTAAATTAATTTTGTTTTTTAAATGTCAACTAAAGTATTTGTTTTTACTGGTGCACATGATTTGTAGCATCATGACCATGTATGATCTCTAGCTAACTGAGGTTCAGTTTTGGCATTTCCTAAAACCAGCAAAGTTTTGCAATTTGCAATAAAGTTTACCACAGCAAAACAAAGTTGCCAAAGAAAGCTGAAAAAGCAAGACACATGTAAAACATGTCCATCAGTCCACAAAGACCAACTATAGCAGCATAACCATTTCTGAAGCTAGTTTAAGTTATGCTGCATTTGCTATAGGCTCAAAGATAAACAGTCACCACAGCTCAACTAGCATGTACGTCTACTGTGTTTTTTCAAAAAGACTCATTTTAGGAAACATAATATATAATTTCATAGTTAGCCCATTTTAGTTTGACACAAACGTAATGTCAATGATAGCATTTTTTTTCTATGCATGACAGTCATGGTAAAGGAAGTTCTACTTACAGCGGATCATATACAAACAACTGACAACTTGAGAAGTAGTGGACTTAAAACTTCCCCACTCCTTACAGTTAAGTATAGGGCTGAGAACAGAGCTATAAACTGTACTGTTATTTTCTGAGTAAGTATATTTGTATGTTACTTTTCAGGAGAGTATTTCATCCTATTTAATGATGGTATTATAATTTTTTTGATTGATACTTATTACAATATGACCATCTTTGTAATTCTTTCCAGACTGTTACACAACCATGACTTTGTCTCCATAAAGGAAGCATTAGAACCAAGCATCAATAAGTAACTTCTCACAGAAATAACTTTCGTATTAATTTGTAGCACTTAAGTCTTTTAAATGATATCAAACCCCAGCTATTAAGTTGTTTATCAATAATTCCACTGTCTCAAGCTATTTAGAAGTTTCCTGTTAACTACATAATTACCTAGTCAATTAGACCTTACTAGTTTTCCACAATGGCTTGCAACGTAGTTACGTCAGTCTGAAATACCATCCTTTGTTCTGAAAATGCAGATAACTATCAAAAATGAATTCTGGCAGATGTGGCTTCGAATGCCCTGTACCTTCAGTTTTAGTCTTAAGTTTTCATTCTCGTCTCAATCCTTAAGCATTCATACTTAGTTTTAAGTTCTTACCAAGAAAATAATCTGTATTTGTATCCTGTAATCGGCCAACATGCACTCTCAATTCATGTTGCAGAAAAACTGATGTCAAGGACTTACTGAAGAGCATCAACACAACAGAACGAGATTTTACTTTTCATGCCTGTATTATATCCCTTGAAAAATGATAATATATTAGTACCTAATAATCATGCTAGGTATTACCTAATTTAGCTAATTATGGAAGTCTGGAGAGCTTTTTCATACTTACGCAGCACTATTCACATATACCTTAAGTCTGGCTGTTCTTTCACAAATAATGTGTCACAGTAAAACAATCACATTGTGTTAATAGATACAAGGATGTTTTCCCAACAGCAGTGGTGCTAAACATACACACAAATTTTCCATATTATACTAAATAGATCCGTAAGAGTTCTGCATGAGATACTTAACTTCATGATTACTGTGTATTTGCATCCCAAGAAAAGATGAGTAACTGGAGTACAGTTATCAGAACATAACCCTAGCTTCCTTAAAGCAGAGCATCTTTGACTTTTCTTTATGTAGTAGTTCCCCTTCCACGCTGATATATTTTTTCAATTTATTACAGAGAAGGTACTATTTATTGCATTGTCAAACACAGGTTAACACAGGGAAAAGGAAGTTCACCTACCAAAAGAAAGTAATAGTCTCAGAAGCACAATGGGAACTACCTCAATATTAAGGTTTTTCCACTGTATGTTGCTGTTACTGCAGAGTCAGTTTAATATCAAGTTTTACTGTAGCTCTCAAATTCATACTTCCAACAGGTTTTCACACATTTAAAATGTATAAATATTGTATGCATCAACTGGCTCTTTAGTCTGCTATTTCACCTATTAACCAAAAAATTTACCAAGTTAACATACTGTCTTGGCTGCGAAGTAAGACTTACCTAATATGTAGATAGTCTTCTGATCACTTCTCTGACCAAGGGAGTTAGTCACCTTACAGATGTAAGTCCCAGTATAGTTGTAAGTCAATGGGCTGCTGAACTGCAGAGTATTGTTGACAGATAGTAATCCTTCAGGCCATTGTCCATCCAACCTGAAACAAAACAGTTATTTCAACTGTGAATCTTTATGACTAAATTCTAAACACAACTAGTCTGAAATATTTGCATTAGAGTGAAATTTTCACTGTGCTCTGACATTGTCAATGGGCTTTCATTGGATATCCTCAGTGTCCACCTGAAAACTTAGTATTTAATTTCTGTGCTGAATTCTTTAAATGTCAAAGCTGCTGGCACTAGCAAGCTGTCTAACAAATGAACACTAGTACAACTAAGAAAACAGTATCTCAAAAGAACTTGGAGAAAAAAAAAAAATCCAACTCAAAGTCTGAAAACTAACAGTCAAACTAAGAAGCATCTATCCTGCTGTCAGGATTATCTGACTGTTCTTTCGCATCCAGTTGAGCCACCACAATAAATATTTCTGTCAGTACACACTTATTCACAGGACATTTTGATTAGGATTTCTGAGCAAGAGTTCAAGCAGTTTCTTACCTCTCAGTCTGCCTTTTCTCATCCCCCATCACTTATCCATCTAAATTACAGAACTGAAACCAAATTTGGTGCTTGGTGATACATTTGGGGAAAGAACCAGTTAAAAAAAAAAAAGCCTTCTTTCCAATCAACTGCCTTTTCCAACTCTATCATTTCCCTGTAGCATTCTGTATGAGATTGCAGTAACAGCTGTGTAAGCACAACAGAGGAAGCGGAAAGGGCAAAGGCACTGGAACTATTTTAACAGAGCTGCCAACTGCACATTAAACACCTGTGTAATTACATGCCATTGCATCCCATGTTGCTTTTATCTAAGTATTATTAATAGCTAAGCAGGACTAAGTCATTATTCAAATGCGAGATGACCAGGTCTCAGTATCTTGGAAGCATTTAGCCAGCATGACTTTAAGTAGTAGCAAATTAAACAAGCCCCCTTTGACATTTGAGAATAGGTACTCAAATGGAAAAAACCCTGTAGGTTAGCAGTAAACACGATCTCCAACAAATATAGGTTGAAAACAACATTTCCATTGCTTTGTTGACAATGATTATTGCCCAGAATTGCTTCAGCAATATTAAGTTCATAAAAATGATTAAGCGTGTATTTCATAGTTCATGCTACCAGATGTATTTCTTTCAAAAAACATTATCAAATAGTCAATTCATTTGAAAGCTCTATTCTAATAAAATTCTCATACATGCAACATTTAAAAATATTATTGACCATGAAAATATTACTATCCTAGCAAACACAATGTCACCTTTGCTTCCAAGGGATAAAGATTTTTTTGGTGTGGTAATTCCAGAAGCTATTATAATTTGAAAGCAGTAAGATAGCACACAAATTCAACACAGGTAGTTTCCATTTCCTTAAACACTCAAGCTACCCTTGTTTTGCACAGATTTCCCCTCTCCCCTTTGGAGTTCCTCATTCACCAGCATTACAGCTTCTTGGATGGGTTGTGTTGCTCAAATAAGAAGGTACAGTAATTTTTTTCCAGAAAATTAGGCTTTGGTGGTAGAAGTAGGTTCACTTCTAACCTTAGTTTGTAAGTGATCTTTGAAGCTTGAAGTGCTTTAAATGCATTTAAACATGTATATTTCCTCTGGTATTGTAAACAGAGGTTGTAAAAACTAATCAATACATACATCTCAAATTCAAATCAGAGAACTGAGAATCCAGCTCATCTGAAGAAACAAGTGGTACTGCCTTTGAGAGCCTGACATGCTTTTTGCAACATAGGAATTTTTATGTGCTGCCATCTCTCATCACACTGATTTTTAGCTAAGCATGGGATGGGGATGGCAGCCTACTGTAGCACATAGGTGAAGCACACATTGTAATAAACGAAGTTTAGTGTAGACATTGCATTCTGACTACAGTTTGCTGTAATACCCATTTAAGATTGCAACAGCTGCTTTTAAAATTAAGTTGTAGTAATGTTTTGTTTTCCTGTGAAACTGCCATCAAGCAATTCCAAACTTATCAATGCAACATTTTCAAACTACATTATGTCTATTGTTCCTACATGTTAAATTATATCTACCGTTGAGATGGTAGGGAAATGGATTACAGATTCACATAAGTAAATATCCCTGTGATTTTACCAACAGAAACACTGTAGCACAGCTACATATAAATCTATACTGCCCTTAGGAACATCATTCCCTTTGTTTCTACAAGCAGCAAATCAATTTGTAATAGCTGGGCTGATGTTTTTTTTTTTCTTCACAGAACAGATTGGGCTATGCTTGCTTTTGTCTTCCTCTGTCTCTTGACCAGAGACATCCATGGCTGCCAAACCAAAGCAGTACATTTCAGAGTAGGGCCCACACAATACATATATTCATGAAATGCTGCTGTTATGTAAGAAAATGTTAAAAAAAAATGTTTTTTATTAGATATGTGTTCAAGACCTAGTTTCCATTATTATGTAAAACACGGCATTTACCTGTCTTGGCAACTACTTGAGCACTTCTCAAAAACTTGAGAAATTCTATAATTCAATAAGCAGTATTTGCCATCTAAACTGTAATTTCTACATTTTCTAATGCAGACACAGAAGTCTGTTCAAGTGTTTACAGTCTACTTTAAGTAGTAATAAAGCAGAACTAATGAAATAGTTGGATCCCCGTTAGATTTACTGGGCTTTACCCTCTATACGGCAACATAAACAGTTTAGTGTACTTTATTAACTACAAGACATTTTATCCTGAGAGTAATGACAAACTTTCAGGCTTGCAAATTTACAAGATAACCACTCACCCATATTTTCATACATACATTCTCTATCCTCCTTCTAAAAGACTAGATAATACCAATTCAAGTCATATGCTTCTTGCTTTCAAAACAGGTGTTTGCAGTAAACTAAGAGATTATACCACTTCAATGATATGGCAAGTCCCTTTTTATAAATATTTACCTGGTCCATATAAATTCCATAGGTAATGGATTTGCATCAGCATTACATCTGAGTTGAACGTTCTCTCTTCCAATGAACCAGTTTCCATCATAGCCAGTTACTGAAACTTCTGGGGCATCTGGCAAAAAAAAAAAAAAAAAGATTTCACGTATCAATCACAATATTTTCTTTAAACACAAACTGTGCAATGGTCAGCTTAGTGGAGCAGAAGATTTTTTTGGGGTTGTTTAATTTAAAAGCAAAACCAGGCAACACCAGTACAGTTTCAAGCGACAGCAACATATACAACAGTGGATGAGACCAGGAACAGTAAGTTATTTCAATGAGTGCAATTGCCCCACTGTGTGTTTTCAGCAAACATACAGTACTTTAGGGAAGAGAGAGGACTTCAGAAAAGAATCAGTTTCATGTTTTTTGCAAGTGAGAAATGGTAATTTAGAGCTACTTTTCACTAACAAGATTCAGCAAAGGACTAGAAACAGTTTTAAGAAGCCAGGTAATTAGTAAATCAGAAAGTTCACAGATGTCAGTTGAAAAGGTTAACAGTTCGCCAGTGGCATCATGACACTGAAGTACGTTGTTATGGCTCTAAAAAGCAATGAAGCCACTTCAGATAAGCCAGAGACACCCATCTGAAATACTCAGACCACAGAACCGGTATAATTTGGTATAAGCTCCTACAGCAGAGATGGAGGAGTAGTGGCAAAGGCTGTAAGGGAAGACTAAGTAACAGAGACATAAAATCTTTGCTTCTCACTTGCTGCTGTGTGGCTTATTACACAATTTTGTTAAGTTCTCAAACATGTCTTAGCACTAATTTCAGATAAAACAGAAGTTTAAGACTAACTTGCTTCCTCATTTCACTTAAAATACAGAACTTCATTCTGTTATTCACTGTTTCAGACAATAATGGGGACAAGTAATCTTTACCTCCATTTCTGTATCAATCGTACTTCAATCTAGAACTTAATTTCAACACTGACAAAATAAACTACTACTAAGCATTATTTTATGCCCAAATATGTGATTCTTTAGCAAACAGAACAAAAACAATCCCCAAAAGAGATTCCAGTCAAATCAAAACAGTCAAATTGACTTTTTCCAGCCACTACATTTCTTCTAATTGAATTGACCAACTACTGTAATTTAGGAACTTTAAAGTAGCACACAGCTGAGACAGGATACTGAAAGAACAACTTGAAAATAGTTTGTTTGGTCACATATGCATTGTTTAATAAAAAAAAAATGGATCACATACCTAAAGCTTATTTCTCTTAACTGGTTTTGGCTAAGCAGCATTGTAAGATATCTCAGTTCATATTCATGTGTTTTAAAGACACAGATTTGTTCAACAAGCCTGGTACAAATTTGAATTACACAAGCAATTTCAAGCTGAATAAAAAAAATATTAGCAATGTATACATTAAGTTCTTGTTTCTTTATGCAAATTAGAGGGGACAAAGCTTAATGAGTAATTTGAAAATAGCTTACTGACTCCCATAAGATCTACTTTCAATTCCTCATCTCAAACATAAAACTTCATTACAGTTTTTTTTTAATACATCTACAATTTTAAGACACCATGAACAGTTTATGGATCAACTGAGTTTGTCATTTTGCCTATAATCTTTTCAATGTTAAATATAAACATGAATAATAATGTTTACCCATGAGCCAACATCCAAAACAAACAGTAGAAACATAACAGTATTCTAGCTTTGTGACTAGATTTTATTTATTTTCTTTTTTTTAGTATGGAGTACCTAGGTTTCTACTCTTGCCTGACTGACTTCTTATCACACGCTTTTCTATACAGTTTTAATATCCCTTTTTCTCCTGAAGCATTAAGTGTTCATCTCCTTCCTGTGGAAGGTATACACTGATAAATAAGGTGGTTATAAGATATATACCAAGTAGTAACTACCTCACAGAATACTTACACTGTATGTCCAACACTTGAGGGAATCTAATTTCCTTTTCCAAAGCAGGGTGCTTCACAATACAAGTTATAAGTCTTCCTCTTGCAAATCGTGTAGGGACAATCATATACTGACTTACAACTGTCACTGTTTCATTTGGAAACAAAGTAGAGCTGGATTCCATTTCACCAAGACCTCCTTCCCAGTCAATCTCTGCAGCAGGTTTTCCAGTGGCTGCTGTACAAGTGGCTGCTACTGTCCTATTTGCACCATCTATTAGAGGGTTTGGTCCTTTTGTTAAGCTCACAACAGGTTCAACTAGGGAGGGGAAAAGAAGTAAATTTAAACAAGACAGACTCCACATCTTTGAAACTGTTGCTATGTGAAAGAATTAGACAAGGTCTAATCCATTTGCAGAAGCCCATACTAATCAGATATCCTAGAAATAAGACCATTGCATGTATCAGACACGATAGCTCTACAAAGCTTTGACCTGTTGATACTGTTCACACCTTTGTCCACTCAAAGTTTAATGTTGCTCATTCACTATGTTTAATGACAGGGAATTCCAATGTGATTACGTTCAGAACGCCAACTACAGTGCTCCAGTTGCAGTGTCTGAGAGAAAGCTTAAGATATTAGGTTTAAACTATACCATGATTATAAGAAAAGCTTAAGTTCTGCTGCACTTTCAAGTGTTATACTTATGTAGACTGTCAGTTTGTGTTATTTCAAAGCTTCTTAATTCAATGTTTTAACACCCGGTGTTAAAGCTTAGAAGCTTAAGCTTCTGTTGATCAGTACAATAATAGAAACTGATTCCATGCTGAAAAAGGGAGTTAGACACTAAAAAAGTACACTTACTATACTTGTATATATACACATTATCTATAAAACTTAGTATGTACAAATATAGGTAATACATTTTTGTATAAAATCTGTGTTTTTGATACAAATAAAATGTATATATAAATAAAATTCTGTCTCTATATATATCATCTTGTGAATGAATCCCTATAGAAGTAAAAAATTTGAACTCAGTATTATGTCTAAGACTCAAGAAATCCACAAGCAGAAGGACCTGACCTCCTTGTAAACCTACTGCTCACCCCAGAATTTTAGAGGTCTAGAGAACACACTTCCTTCTAGAAGGAAGTTGAGTTCCTGATGTACAAGTCTCCTGTTGAGGGTCATAGACTGAAAAGCTTTTTAAAAAAAAAATCATTAAGAAATCTATGTCAACCCTGTACAAGCCCTCTACCAGTCACAGCCTAAGTCGGGAGTACTATCTGGTGCTTCAGATACAAACCAGGGTTTTGCTCTCTAGGATGGCCCATTTCTCTCATCAATACTAGAAGATACACATTTCCCACTAGCATACCAACTTATTTTGCAATCCTTGCCTTTTGACCTCATGAGGCTGAGTCCTCTGAAGCCATTACTACACACCATAATGCTTCGGAATCCACCTCAGTGCACCAGCCCCCACTAATCACAAAGCAGAGACAACTCTTGCAACTTCTGTGCCTTTCAGTATCAGAAGTGTAGTTCACAGAACTTCTCTGCAAGAAGTTGAACCTGATCCACATATCTTGAAATGAAATGGAGCAGAGTTCACAGTATCTGGCAAGATACTCCTCTGACTACCTATATTTTTAAGAGATAACTGGCTAATAAATATTTTCAGCTTGAGTGATTTCAGTGCCAGAACCAGTTTGATTGTTTTCTGATCATTCTAACACTGCTCATGTCTGAAGAAGGTAGTTTATTATTTGCTCAATTACACTAAAAGGAAAGACAACTACTAAATGGGTAACCACAAAAATGGGTGTTTCCTGTTCTATGCTTAGAAATACTTAAAGAATATAGCTCATTACCAAATTGAAGGTTGGTTGTTTGGGAAGACACTGCATATGGATTTTTCTACGTCATTTCTCTGAATGTCTACCCTCTGTGATTTGTTAGTGACTCTATCGTAAATAAACCAACAGCAGTGTTTTTCTGCCAAGTCCTACATTCACTCTTCTAGATGTGAAGTATCTAACATGACTTCCTTCAGAATTTCATTCCCTGCTCTCCAACAGCAGCAAGAACTAAAGTTTTCTGCATCAACTTGGATATTTGTACTGATGAACATATAAAGCATTCAATCATCTGAAAAAAGCCTTTAAAACCTAGTATGAAATACTTTTGCGTGGTATTAAGAAGAATGTGGACATCTTATCAACTAGCACTTTTCAAACACCATTACTTTATCAGAACTGTATGAGAGAATCCACCTTCTATACTGTCTGACATGCATCTTCCTTTAACTCCTTATCGTACGAATTCCTATATTAGTGTATCTAGGATCTACTCATAGTGACAGATCTACATGTTTGACATTGTCATCTGTGCTGCCCATCCTTCGCTTGTAGCATTGGTAAGAGCTAACCTGCAGAAGACCCCCCGATCTACTTTATCAATACCCATGCTGAGAACTCCAGCTTAGAAAACAGTGGAGTCAAACCAAGCCAAGCATTTAAAAGGGTGATATACAGTGCTCAAACTAGTAACATAAAAATGTTAGCTCTGCAAGCTACCCTATCACACACTGTCTCTTCTGCCTTCAAACACCATTTCAGCCAGTTTAGTCAACAACTTGAAAAAGAATCAGCTTGACAAAATTCTTTGCAATGTTTTGTCCTAGATTAACAAGGTAAGTTTCAAAAACTGAAGTTTTAAGCAAGATCAATATACCTGCTTGACACAAGAAGCATTTTCATATTGTCACTGTCTTAACCTCTTCTTTTACATTGCATTTCCTTAAGACAACATGAAACACTAAGCAAAGCAAACTGGGAGTGCACGAAGTCACCAAACATGGTAAGTCTGTTAAGCTTAAGTAGCATAAGACAGAGGTTCTAAATATGGTCTTAAGAGATCACTGTACTGTGGCAAAATACAGGACTCTTATCCTGTAGCTGTTTTTAATTCCATTTTTCTTCAGTGTCTCTTACAGTGTGCAAGAATCTACTACATGATTAAGTATACCTACTACGCATAGGAAAGAAATGAATTATTTGCTGAATAGGAACAGACAGGGACTAGGAAAAAAAGGCAATGTTGCCTGGACTGGAAACAATTTCAGTCCCAGGACATAAACTTTCCTCTCCTCACTTAAATGAGTTTTTCAGCACAGTGCAAGAACACAGTCAGAATGAAGCTGATCTTAAGTTACATCAGGTTTTAAAGTTTGATTGCAGCTATTCCATGCCTTAAAACTGCTGAGCTCAGGCTAGTAAAGCTCAAACGTTATTTCAGTTACATGCATATTCTGAAAACTGTTACTTACCCAGTATTTTTACTGTTTAAGGCCAGATGTCAGTGTAGCAAAGTTTTCAGAAGGACAAAATTGTGCTGCTGAGGCCACAGAACATAGGTAAATCCAACTGAAGGTTGGCTACCCAGCTGTACATGTAAGCCAAGCAGCTGCTAACTAGGATGGAAAGGCATCTTTGCAAGTGGTAGTTGAGTTTTGCAATTTAGAGACTCCTACCAAGTCACTGAGAAGCTTACAACTACCAGCAACCACCTGCATCAACTATGAAAACAACTATGATCAGGACCACTGTATACCTAACAAATACTACTTTACCTATTCCAACTGCATTTTTTGATAATATTTATCTTATCAAGCAAGTTACAGTCCTTCTACATTTGAAAACATAGAATAGTAAACACACAGGACATACATTTGCTTTTCAGGTTCCATCTCAGGTTCTCCATAAACCTGAAAATTTGAAGGGTAAAATGGACACAACTGATGTGATCTGAATAAAAAAGGATCTTAGAAATAGGAACTGACTAGAAGTTATGAGGGAAAGCAATAAGAACCTCCCACTGGATATTGATGAATTACAACAGGTGAAACCAAGTCAAAATACTGCTACCATAGCCACAGACATAGACACTTATAATACAGACAGAAGACAGATGGAAGAGAGCCCTAAGGCTACATGCTTTCTATATAACATTCAACTTATTTGGTCAAGTTATTTGTTTCCAATTGGATTAAGCCACTTGCTTTGATGCGTTTGTTTTGCCCCACCTTGTGGTGAAATACAGTTTACATACTATGCTACAGCCATCTGATTTATCTCATATAGTGTTCTACTACCATGGAAAGCAGAAATCAAAGACAAAGAAGATATTAAGAAGTACGCTGTTTACAAAACTAGAATCATTGAGGACCACCTCAGCTACAGAAAAGTATCACTTGACTACTTGCATTGGATACAGAAGAAACTTACTCTAAGTAGGTAAAATACTGTAAGGAAAGGGCAAGACATCAGCTAGTTTTCAAGTTTCACAACTGAGTAATCATTTTATCTCCTACTGCACTACCATCTAAGTCTACCTGTACTTCAGTACTAGTCCTTTACTACAGCAACACTGAACCCTCAACAAGATAAACAAGAAGTAGATTATGAAAAAAACTGAGTTCATGTAAGGTTTACATTTTTACCATCCACAACCAATCAAGGGCTTAAAGAGCCCCTTTCTTCCCATAAATCCCATCAGTAGTCTAGGCAGTTTTGCTTCACATTATACAGCGCAAAGAACAGTTTACATCACCAGTCCCAAGCAGCTACACTAACATCATATTAGTAACACATTTACGGGGCAGTTTAGCCAAGGTGGTAGCTAAGGCTGTATTTGGCAGTTTCTCAGCACACACAGAGAGGTCCCTAGTATCAGCATTGCCAGATCTAAGTTCTAAAGCACTGTCCAAATGTTTAGATTAGCACAATGCCTAAATAGGAACTGCTTATTTCTTTTTAATTTCTCGACAATCAAATAGCAAGTTCTAAAGCAGCAAGACCGAGAAGAAGTCTCTTCAATTATGTTAGTTAGAATTTTATGAAAGACAGGCAAATACATTTTTTTGTATTGTCATTGGGTTAAAAGGTAAAACACAATATAAAAAGTTTGCAGAATTTCACTAACAGGTTTGTGCTACTGATTTTACTTCCTTTCATGAAGAAATTTACTTACCTAGTACTGTTACAGTTGTTGTCGACTGTGTATTTCCAAGTGGGAATGTAACTGCTTTGCAAATATACTCTCCTGCATCAGAAAAGCTTACATTTTTTAAGAGGATTGTTGCATCAGTAAGTGAGTAGTTTTTAAATGACACTCTTCCTTGGTATTCTCCTTGAACAGATATTCCATATTCAGGATGATGAACAGCAATAGTCTGTGAACTTTTACCATGTATCTTCTCCCAAGAAACTTGTGTTATTGTTTCATTTACATCAATTATGCATTTCAATGCAACCTTCTTCCCCCAAACTGCTGTCACATGTGGATCAACAATTGGTCCAGCTAAGGCACCTAAAAACAAAGCAATCATTAGTTTGTACACAAGAAGGTTATACCTCTAAGTCTTCACATTAAGCTCTCTTTAGTAATTAGATTGCGTTTTTCAAAGAGAATTCCTACTTTTGTCTGAATAACTGTATTCTAGATGATTCACAGCTGTGTGTAAACATTACAAAAGCATGCTTTAAGCACAAACATCAAAGCTAGGTGTAGATCAACCCTTCCTCTGAGAATACTATCACTAATACTCAATTTTCTATAAAAATTGCCTGATAATAGTGTAAATGGTATATCAATCCTTTGGGAGTTTAACTAGATATGAGCATTGCATGTATTCAGATTTACTGAAAAAACATTAATCAGACATGTTACTTTAGCATTCTGATTACTGATCCAGAGCATCAGGTAAAAACTTAAAGTACTGCACTTATTTATACTTTCAAAAGACGACTCCTAATAAATGTAATAAATACAAGGAGAAATGCACAAGTGAAACTTCTACCACTTACCATAACAGTAAGTACTTAAAAAGCAAAGCAACAAACAAAAAAAAACCCAAACTGCACAAACTACTCCTTGGTAACAGTCAACCTAAGAACTCTAATTGTAGCTTCAGTTCCCTAGTTTCTACTAAAAATACGTACCATCTTACACATACTATCTTTCTGGTACACTGTAGTGTGGTGTCTTCACACTAGATCTTCCCTCCATATTAACACAGTAAATATGCAAGATTATGTGTGTTTGCTGAAGATCCAATGTATTTCCATTCAAAGCCTAAAATACTTTCCACAGTAGCAAGTGCATTCTGAGCAACACTTCACACCACCTCCTTCCAAGAGAGGAAATCCACCAGGACAAAGCAGTTCATTAAGCCACAGGTTCACGATTTCTTTTGCCAAACAGATGCTCCAGCTACTTCAGTCATTCTTTCTCTTGGAGTAAACTAACATGATGAAAAAGAATCAAAGTCTTAGCCCACACTGTATTTCTTTTTACTGTGCTTAAGTTCTTACAGAGTCATTCAACTGCTCTGATTTGCTCTTCATTTATCAAATCAGTACTCAAGCCATTACTCAGAAAGTTCACCCATGGAAGAAGATTCAAGTCTAAATTTTAGTAGATCCATTTTCACAAGTACGTAGAGGTTATTCAACTTGAGACATGAACGGCCTTTTCAGTCACCAAGTTCCCACAAAAGAGAAACCATGTGTCCAGGGAAAAATTCTCTATATGCCTTTATGTACGAGTCCATTCTTAAAAGCTTTCCATTTCCCATCAACTGATTTTTCAGTGCTCAAACCATAACCAAATCAATGAAGCCACCTAAATAAGTGATTTAAAGATTCAGCTATGGATTTCTTCAGTATAATACTACTAAATAATGCCAATAGTATGAAAACATTAAGTTACACAAATAAATCAAACTAAGCCAGAACTTCATACCAAGATTGTTGATATGCCAGTCACTAAGAGAGGCTGGTGAGGGGAAAAAAATAGCCAGAAAACTCAAAGAACTGAGTAAATTTCATCTAGAGGATACCTACCATGACTAATCCACAATTCACAAAAGGCATGTCTAGTCTCCTCATGCCTCTTGAGGTAATACACATTGTTGAGACCAACGTTGAAAGGAGAGCAACTATTTGAACACTAACTGAAATGCACAAAATTCTGCCCAAATGTTGTTTCCACTTGCCACTGCTACATTTCATAAAGTGGACTGTTCCTTAAAAAGTATTTAACTATTGCTTAATACATTACATATAAATATGGCTCACAAGTTACATTTCTCCAGTGTCTTTCAGAATGTACAGATTATACATATTCTGTACTGTCATTTAAGTAAAGAAAAACACTTTTGTTCAAATATCAGTTATTTACAATGTTCAAACCTACTGAATCTTAACCTGTACTAAACCTTAACATAATCATCAGCTGTATGGAACTCTAACAAACTTCGTACAGAAAAGCCCTACAAGTAAACTTACACAACAGCTGCTCCAACTTCTGAGAAGGTAACAAACTGAATTGTAAAATCATCCTAGTTAGTGGAACACACAAGCTGTTCCACTAACTTCCACTTAGTAGAGGCTTTAGCTACATAAAGATGACCAGACTACATTAAAAAAAAAAAATTCTGTCAAGACTCAAGTAACAGTTATCCCTTTTTGGAAGGTGTGAAAATAAAACATTTTTTCCACCAAAGAATACTTCTAACAGCTCATTTGTGCCATGAGAACACTGTGTTCACACATGAATTGCATGAATATTTTCAGAGCCAAACTTTTTTATTGCTGCTACTTTCACAAACTTAGCTGAGCAGGCCTCATAAATATATTTACTTCTACACATACACACTCTTGCAGCCATAGAACTATTAATCAGTTACATCTTGCTGTTCATTCACCTTCTCCAATAAATGAATCAGAGCCAATAGATCATTACACATACTTTTACATGTTTATCTTATGTTCTGACACAGGTTTACTCTCCAAAGACAAAAAAATCAAGTCATGCTACTCATTTAATTCAAACTTACATATAGTTTATGTAACAGTATATATACTCCAAAGTGTTTCAAGTTTTAAAAATAGTTTAAAGCTCAAGTGAGAACAAGCACATCTTTAATTTGCAATAGTGTTTTTAGTTAAATAATAACTGGCTGTAGTTTAAACCCAACTTTCTGGTGGCTGAGCAATCAGGCTAACAGTTGAAACTAGCAAGTTAATTACTGTGGTCATATTCAGGGCTCTCCAAGACTCAGGACTCTAAAACAGGTATTCCGTTTGACAAAGAGACTTCCACTTGAGAGTCAATACTTTGCTCAAAAGATTGTACTTGAATAATGAACAACAGCTACATGTCTACTCCAAAAATAAAGCTTTAGAGGCTTACAATGCACATGATTCTGAAGAACAAGACACTTCAAGGCCACATGATTCATCTACTTAACTGATCCAAGGTACTGATGCACTGGACACATTTACTGTTTTAATAAAGCCTTGCTCTCCTCCTCTTGAAATCTAATACTGAGACCTGACCTTCTTTGCTTCCAGTTTCATAACACTGAAGGCCTTGTCTATCATCATTCTCAACATCTCTTAAGGAAATAAGTTGTATTCACATACTAATAGAGATCTGATTTCGCAACTTCAAGGCAAAACCAGCATCATTACGTTTCCTTACATTTTTCCTTGGATGACAGTTTTTGTGGATCTTTTTTCCCCTTTTTGCTCACTTGGAAGACAGAAAAAACAGCTTATGTCTTCCCTCTCATTTCCTATTTATGTGTGCTGACAGCTCATATGTTCCAGCATGTCTTTGACACATGCAATGAGGTTCTCACACAACCCAATTAAATTGAAGACACTGTTAGATGACTTTTACTGGTGGGTAATTACTTGAGTATCATATGCTATGGCACCCAATCCCACTGATTTCAAAGCTTTGAACTTAACTGTATCATTCAGTCTATACAAGTGGTTTAGTACTCCTTGTCTGTACCAGTCAGCCATACTTCCTACTGTAATTAAACAGTTCATAATACTGTTCACATCGCATAGGCAACAGACAGGGCATTAACCTTGTTTTGACGAGCAAGAGTTTGTCCAGTACTGTTTCATATGCAGCCTAGTATTAGTTGCCATCTCCAGTGCCTTTAACTGTTTCAGTTTTAGCTATTTACCTATGCACTGATTTTTTTGATCACACAGTGATCCATTCCATGCTAATAATACTTCACATCCAAGTCTCTCCCAAAACTACCTTATGTCTAAATCTAACAGAAGTAGGTGGATCCTCCTAGTTGATCTACTTGACACACCTATTTTCCAATGTATATGCAAGCATGCTAGCAATACTCTCAACCTCTTTCACCAATAACACTTAGTTGCATGCAGACACTGACAGTCTACATCTCAGCTTCTCCAACTGCAACAGTTGCTCTTTATCTCTTATTTTAACAACTGAGAGGGCTTATAAAAGAGTAGTCATTTAATATTCATGGCTCCACACTTACATAGTAACATCACAAGACTGCCCTACCTCAACTTTAAGTCTTAAGATAAAATTATTTGAAAGCTTATTATCTCATCTCCAAGTGCAGGGAGAGAAAGCATAAACTGATTGTTCTAACATTCTTTGTATAGCACCTTCCAGAGGAACATGGCTTTGGCACTTTGAGTTCTAATCACCTCTGCTCCCTCCCCAAAAAGCGCTGCAGCAGTATTTTTTCATTTTCCCATCCTTCACATCACCATGCAGACAAGATTTCAACACCCAGTACTGAAAATGCATCTCAGTCCAAATTGTACAATCTATTGTTTTATTTCAGGTAAACACTAGGTTTCTTTTTTTTTTTTTTTTATTTAAGAAAAAATTTTATCAGGTTTATCTTGTGTTCACTAGCTCTGTTTCAGATCACTGCAAGAATCTTACTCAAAAAGCAAGGCACTGATCATTCTCAATTAACTTGTCAAAAAGCACTTTGAAGAGTCAAAAAAATAACCCCTATAACTCACTTCTAGTATTAGAAGCCATCAAATATTGACTATGGTAACAGAAGGTATTCACTAGTATTTATTAATCAAGCTTCTCTCACTAACTGAAAAAAGAAAGATACTGAGGAAATGTAGGGTCTTGAAAATATCATGACCTTCACACAAGAAAGTACTCATGCTATGAAGTGAGAGAGTACTCTTCTGACTTCCAGGCTTGTTATTTGTTTTAACAAACAGCAGATTTAGATATTTTTCTATATGGAACAGCCATGCCCGAGTCTAATTACAAAAGCAATCCATGTTACTAGCTGCTGTAGAACCATGCTCTGCTTAACAGGACACCACTGGCAAGACAGAGATCACACCAACACTTCCAAGCCACTTATATTGCACTAGCTGTCCACTGTTTGTGCAAGACAAAGCTGAACTGCAGAAGAGCTGAAAAACTGAAGTTTTTCCCTACATCAGCAAGTTATTCAGTTCATGGGTATATCTGGCCTTAGTAGACAC